GTCTCCCCCGGCGGGGCCGGCTCCCGTTGGGACCCTGACTCCACCCTCTCGGCAGCCAGCTCTGGCCCTCCCTCCCTGGTAAGCCTCACCCTTTGCCCTCCCCGGGGCTGCCCTCCAGGTCTGCTTCTCCCTGCCGCCCCCTGCCACGGCAGCGCCCCACCTCGCGCCCTTCCACTCTGCTGTCCAGAAGCCGGGGCCGCTCTGAGGGTCGGGACCCAGGGCTCAGCCGCAGCCTTTGGAGACATCCCCTCCAGGCTGAAGCACATGGGTTGGTTTCTTTGCCGGGACCAAGAAACTACCCATAGGAAGATGGTGCCCATGGAGATTACAGGTCCCTGGATCCTTTTCCCGTGCTGGAACCTGCAGCCTCCGGGGGCCACACCTCCGGGTACCGTTAAAGAGGAGGGCGGCTGCCATTGGCCCTTTCTAGGGAGCGCCCCCGCCCCGTCGCTCGGGTTCCTGAGCTGTGCCGCTAGCCCGAGTGCAGAGAGTCACGTCCAGACCGAACAAGCTGCTGAGTACTATTGCGGAATCCAGGGGGGGATGGAGACATGTTGGCCGGGGTTTCCCAGCCCGCACAGCGCTCCTTCTCGCCGGTGCCACGCCCGCCTGCTCCGCCAAGCCGCCTCCTCCTCCCCACCTAGCAGGAGGCAAAAGAAATCCATCAGGCCCCTCTCAAACGCTGCCACCAAGAAGACAAGATGAAAACTCCAGAGCCGGAGGCCCGTAGCCAGCCAGAATAAACACGCTGCCTTAGCAAAAGCGGAGCGTGTCGTTCCTTGGAGACGATCTTGGGAGAAGTCAGAACCGTCCCACGAAGGCTGCACGGCTGCGTTGATTTACGCCGGTGGAGGGTCTGACCCCCTAGCAGGGTTGCCAGCTGTCCAGTATTGACCCGGACAGTTGGGTATTTTTGCCTCCTGTCCGGTAAAAAATATGCAGAAAATACCCGACACCTAAAATGTCCTAAAATGTCCAGTATTTTCAGATTTTTTCCCGGCCAGGAGGTGAAAATCCCAGGCTGTCCGGCTCAATACGGAGGCATCCTGGCATCCGTAGTGCTTACCAGGGAGCTGTCCGGCCCGGCGCAGGGAGGCAAGGTAGCAGGCGGCCGCCAGCAGCCTGTGAGGGCCAGAAAGCCTCACCACGCATTTCTTAAAGGGGCCCTTTTTTCGGTATTTTTTTCTGAAACCATCTGGCAACCCTACCCCCTAGGGCAGGGGTGGGAAACCTAAGGCCCGGGGGCCGGATGCGGTACCCCAGCTTGCTTGGATCTGGCCCCCGAGGCTCAGGACTCCCCCCCCCGCTATCCCACCGTGGGGCTGGAGCACACAAAATCTACTCGCCTGGGCCCCCTAGGCTCCGATGGGCGAGGGGAATGTGGGAGCGTCTTTCTCTTCGGGTCACCGGGGCCACGTCAGTGAGCGGTTTTGGTTTTTTGTTTGCTGTGGGTCAGCAGGGTCCTGATCCTGCCCTAGGTACATGACTCCCCGAGAGGTCAGAGCCAGAGGACCCCGGCCTTGGCCTGACACCCCTGTTTTCCGCTGGTTTGTGCCAGGCTGGTTTTAAACACCCCCAGCTGGAGCGAGCTGTTGGGTTTTTTTCCAAACAAAAAGACGTTTCGTAGGAGGGAAAAACCCTTTTACCAAACCAAGCAGGCAGCAGCAGCCTTCCCGTTTGTCCCCCTCGACGGGACGTTTTGTTCCCTTTTTAAAAAAGCAGCCGGAGGCCGCGATATGGGCAGATTTCGTTTATCAAACGCCGCCCTGTGCGTCTCTACCAAGGGCGCGGAAAAGGCCACCTGGGCACCGGACTGGGGAGAAGCCGTGGAAATGGCACAAAGGTGGTGATGGAGACATGTGCCGGCAGAACGGCCGTGCTGGTGAAAGAGGCCAGGCCGACAGCCCCCGCGAACCGGCGTGCTCCCACCATCCACGCACCAGGGGAGCAGCGCGCCGAGAACCAGCCACGGAGCCGGGAACAAGCATCCCCTTTCATTCGAGCCTCGCTGCGCAGGGTTAGCAGGGGAGGGCTGCCCTGTCCTCTGAGCCCCACCAGACTCCAGCTGCGAGTTAGTTCATCTTTGTTTTGTGCTGGCACAGGGGAGCCCCAGTGACGGAGCAGGGACCCTTCTGCGCTAGGCGCTGTACAGACACGCCACAAACAGCCAGGCCCAGCCCCTCAGCTCTGACGGTACCGAGGAGAGACGGGAGATGGATGGGGGAGCACAGGGGAGACCATCGTGGTCGGCGTGAGCCGCCAGGGGCTTTGCAGACCTCCCCGGCCAGACGCCTCCCTACCTGCCTGCATCTAGAACTCCCATAGGCACTCGCTGGTGACTTCCTCGCTGTCTGCCAGGAGGGTCCCGCTCCGGTCCCCTCGCATGTAGTAGCCGTTGGGGGCCAGCACGGCCAGGATGTTAGTCCCCTGGATCTCCAGGCAGAAGTTCAAGGCAAACTTCCCCCAGGTCCGGAAGGTGCCGTCCGCGCTCAGGGACCAGAACCTCCTGCCGCAGGCTGGGGAAGGACGGAGAGAAGGTGGGAGCGCTGGGAGGCAGGCAGGGCCCCGCTGCCGTTCCAGGCCTGCCGGCCCTAGGGGAGGATTCGCCGGAAGGGGCCCGGGCGCTCGCCTGATGGTGCCGGCCGGGTTTGCAGGTTGGAGCGAGGTTCCCAAACTCGCATGCACCCCCCAGCCGGCCGCGAGTCCCCTTTCCTCCCCCACCGGGCTCACTCTGCCTCCCCTGCCAGGCCGAGGCGCCCAGCACCCCCACACCCCCCGCCTGCCTCCAGCGGGGGTGCAGGGAAACTTAGCCCAGCAGGCACAGGGAGGTGAGTAGCCCCCGCCCTGCAGGCTGGCTTCCTCCACTCTTCCTGCCTCCGGGCTGGCACAGCTGGGGACGAGACGCCCCTTGACACCTGGGCGTGAGCAGAGGAGCAAACAGCTCGCGCCCGCCCGGGCCAGCACACG